CTTTGAGATGATTGGTTTGAAAAGTGGTGTGATCCAACTGATGATCTTAACTGGAATCTCTTTTTTAAAAGATCAATCAATGTAAAATATAAAATAGGTGATTTGTCAGATCTTTCGCTTCGACATGAGAATACTCCCCTCATAATCCTTTCAAGGCATCATTTATCCTTGCCGTTCAATCACACGAATTCAGCGGGATCACCGGATTTGAGGAGCTCATCTTTATTTGCAGATATTCTGGATCTTCGTTAATGTTGGTCGCTTTTTACTCTTAATAACAAATTAAACTTGGGAAATGAATCACATATGACCGTTCCTAAATATGGGTTCTCGGTGGATCTTTGGAAGTGGCCGAAAGCATGAATAATTGGCTGTCACACCAAGAAGACATTGTAATGACGGTACAAAACAATGTTCCTGCAAGCCACATTGCCATCACCTTTTTTTAGAAAGAGAGTGAAGTGTTACCGTTCTGAGATTATCCGTCGCGTCACTAATAAAGCAAACGTGCGTTGAATGTCATAACAATCTTGATGCACATGCCTAACAATTAAACCATTCACTTTCCGCATTTCAACACAAAATGCAGATCTGCAGTGAAAAACGTTATGGTTCAAAGGTTGAAATCCGTGGCAAAATTTGTAACACTTGTGCTTGCATATTTTTCCATGAATGGGGATTACGCTCACACAGACAATAAATCTTTTTTACTACAGCATTTACTTATCTTATGTAGTACCCCTGTATTTAACTCTAAAAATGAATTCTTTGTGTAGCAAAAATTTACGTAATGCACATTTTTTTGAACTCGAAAATGCTTTCAAAACAATATTATTCAGACATTTTGTTTATGATATTATACAAATAACAATATTTTGATATCACACATGTTCACGACTGCATTCGCTCTTATGACTAAATTTGTTATGTAATACGGTTAACTCTGACAGATCGGTTAAAAAAAAACCATTCGTATTTTGTATAGAGACCGACACTCTTTACATCGCCAACGAACGAATGGTCCGCTGTAGAAAAAGGTTGTTTATTATATCGAGACTTGACTGCACTCGTTGCGTACATTTATAATCTTTTCCTGGTCGACTATATTTGATGGATCCTTTAAACAAAAGTGGTTTTAATGATTATTACATTATGAAAATAATTATTCATACATGGTTTGTGAGTTGTGACAAAGATGAACTTTTGTTTGTTGAATAATATTACCCAAAGGGTGAAGGGTGTCATAGGGAAAATGAAATTTGGTGTCACCAGAAAAGACGGACGAGAATTCAATATCAAGAAATAAACAGTCGATTCTAATAAACTATACTTTAAGCATAAAAGTTATATGATACACATCTAGCGCTTTGGCCAGGCCCTTGTAACGGTAGTCACAAGATAGATAGCCTTTAAGAAAACCTTGGATTTGGCTAGGTTGAAAATTTATTTTTTTTTTAAAAAAAAAGAAAAAAATCAACCAGTTTGTTCATCATCTCGCCATACAGGAAAAACTGCTTCGGAGTGAAATTTACTCCAACGGGGGGATGTCGGTATTTTTTTAAAAAGCAGTTAGAAAGAAGATCACAAATGGCAAAAGGTAACGCTAAGGTGGTGGAACAAGTCGGCGATTTCTATATAAAATGAAATTAACTAACGGAATTCGAAACGCTCTAACCCTTCATGTCAACGGAGGCGTCGTCTCTGAACGCGCCCTTTGTATAACGGATTTGAGGAATACAATACCCCGTCCCATTATTTCTTTTTTTGGCGCGATTCAACTGATTCAACTTTACAAACACTCCATCCTAAAATTTCACGGGGTTTTTTTCGTAATTAATGTATCGATCAAATCATTTGAATTCAATTGGAGATTCGGTGTTTGTATTTCGCTGCTCCGTGATTCTTAACAATAACACCAAAATCTTCACGGATTGGATGTGTGCGACCCTCACCATTAAAAAAAAAAAAAAATGTAAGGATTGTTTGGTTACTGCAAGGGTTTGTTATTATTTGCTGCACAAATACGAAGTGTTCGCATATGCAGCTCGCATAAATTTGTGTTACGATCTGCACTTTCTCTTCACCCAAAATGTCGAAAAAAAAAGTTTTTTTTTTTTTTTTTTTTTTATAAGCGCAATCAATTGCGAGAGAGACCTGAAAAAATTCGACACAGCATAATTAACGTCTAAACATTGCGTAAACGAATTTCCAGAATTAAAAGAATTACCGGTATCATACTGGTATCATTCGTTGTCTCGCGCATCAAAATCACGAGATGTTAGGATGCATATCAGCGCACAATAAAGATTTTTTCAGATACGTAAAACCACGGGTGCAGGGTCTTCCATTGAATCGCAATAAGACAATATCAATGTTATACACTTGTTAGGGCGAGCCACCAAAGAAAGAAATGTCGAGAATTGGGTTCATTCTAAAAAGTTTTCCTTGTATTCTCGAAGTGAGGTTGATTGAAAAGTTAAGGATGTGCGAGTGGTTTGACCCTTACCTCCTACTCGCTCATTGTAGTAGTTCTCGTGCCAATCGCCATCGCCAATTGAAAAAAAAAACATGTACATAATAAAAAAAAATGTGTTCCATTAAGTAGCCGCATTATGCTAATTTTTCGCATTACCAATTATGTCCGTGATAATTTGGTGACTACCGTGAAATTATTATCATGTGTAAAGAAACCCCCCCCGTTTAAGACACCAAAGTGATAAGTTCATGCATGCATTGTATTAAATTATTAAATTATCATCTATGAAACGCGCGCGCGTCGTTTCTTTTTAATTACCCATAGGTCTCATTATGAATAATGATCTGATCTGATGTTCATTATCCAATTTCATCTGGAGCCCCACACTTGAGCATGGTGGGGAACAGTCTGAGAGATCGACGAGATTTCGTAAATTAAAATCAGGTTGTTTTGAACGCATCCTCTACGCGACGGGGAAGGTTGTATACGCATGTGATTCACGTGATATTACGCTCGATTTTTGGAAGAACTCATGCCCCCCCGAATTTGATGTGTCGGGAGATAATTCCTTTTCCTAACGCTTCTCGGAAAATCATCACTTGAATATATTAATTCCCTCGGCAGCAATCTTTGATCGCCCAGGAAAATTTTCACAATTAGGTCACGGATCTTGGATAAACCAAATTTCTCTCGTTTCTTTTTCCACCCCCTCCAGATCATTGCACATGGCAACCATCCGCACAAACCACATGGGCATGAATTCCCCGCCCGCAAATACCGTTTTAGGATCATACAACATTAGATAGATTAAACGACCAGAAGATTATAACCTTTCCTTCACTGTTTCAACTGGATGCGAATTTCAGTTAGAAGGATCAGATCATTCACTCGGACCAACCGGAACGGACCGATCAGGCCATACCCCACAACTTCCATTCTCCAAGGATCTCACTAGCTAACAGTAGAAAGACTATGAGAAAAAGGCACGCAGGTCAGTCATCATCTAGTCCAAAGGCTCAGCCAATTTTAATAATATTTAAGGGAATGAATAATGTGTCGGTCTAGCCACAATGATTCTAATAATATGGTGTCGTCTTACTCCTTTTTTTCATTTTGTTCATCACATTATGAGCGATCCGCCATATTATGTAATCTTAGATAATCAGAATCACACACATTTACATAACTGAGGTCCGTGATTGTCAAGGAAAAAGAAATGTCCCACCTTACGCCGATTTAGCTGATAACTCGCCAGAAGTCGCCATTTAGAATAAAATCGATAACAAATTTGGCTGAATGCGTCAACCGTAGCACGTTCCCCTTCCGAATTTGGCGTGGGACGAAAATGAGCTCGGGTGGAATTAGAAGAATGGATGCCTATAATCATTGTTGAATTCCAATTGGAGGTTAACGGTAGCGAGTCAAAAAGGAGTAGCGTGATTTCTAAAACCGGCATCAAGGCGAGAAAGGTATCATGCGATTGCAATTGGATTTTCAATTAAATTCACACACATAAGCCTGACGGACGAACTTGCGAGAGCCTTGGAAAAAAAAAAAAGATTAAGACGAGATGCATCCAGTTGATTCGTCCAACCCAGATTGTTTTGGTGATCGTCCAAAACTTTGACATCTATGTTTACCTCGAGAAAGTCCATTACATCACTTTCTCGGTATCTATTGCTGGACAATAGTGTGACAGTCAATTTCTAAGCAACCAATGTTCGGATCACATAATTTCAATTACAAATCATTGCTGGAAAAACATTAGGGTGAGAGTGCACACACACACACGGCAATTAACGTGTTATTATTATTACTATTATTATTACTATTATTATTATTAGCATTTAAGTAACATAATGTTAGCATACGCATGCAACCTGCATACTTACCATCCAATGGACTCAACACTGTGAGGATTAAATTATTATTTGCATGGTCAGTTCAAAAACACATTCCTTAGTCTCTTAAAAAATTTTTTGATTGTGAGATGCATGAATGGAAAATGTGTTGCAGGTCAATACACGTAGATGATGAAGATGATGATGATTAGTCTCACACAAACCATATCTTCGTTCCAATCACGCATCCGGTGGTTGATGAGTTGCATGGACCTAATCTTCATCTTTATTTGTGTTTTTAAACGTTGAAATAAAATAAGATAAAATAAGATTATTTTTTTTTTTTGATTGCCATATAATCATATCAAATGTTTCATTTATCTTCATGGCCGCATACGTATAATTAACAATCAATCGAGCGCAAAATGTGTACGAAAAAAAAGGAAAGAAAAAAAAAGCGCACACATATTGTGTGGTGTGGTTATATGATGTAAAAGATTTTCATAAAGGAAACTACGGCATGGGCCGATCACAATTAGTACAATCAATATTATACGCACAATCAGTAACTTAATACGTTATACCCCACAGGCTACGTCACCAATTACGTACATAAAAAGGCAATGATGTTTTACCTAAATGTGCAGGTCATCACACCACCTGAAAATGGCAATTTCACCCATCACACATTGGCATTATCAACTATTTCCGGTGTGAAGTTTACAAGCCAATTGTTTCAAGAATCAATCAAGACAGGATATCACAGATTCCGTCATCGTGCATACATCTTATACGCTTTACGATGCGTGGTGAACGCACACACACATAGGTAGTAAATAATAATCTATCGGAGATGTACGTACGCACGCACTTTGATATAGGCAATGTATAACAGGAGATTTCATCATAATCATCATCACCATCATCCCTTTCTCTTTGTTTATTAACAACGTAATTAAGTTGTTTGATAATATACACTGGTGTGATGTGGGCGGACCTCATCATTTATCTCATTCATATATTTAATATTATATATCTATTATTATAATTCAGGGTGTCTACTTTTCCGTATAATGTCTACATTCTTTATCGCTTTGTTGTTCGGATTGCCTTATCGGTTAACAACGGCCTGACGAGTGAAATAAATAAATTCTTTCCCACACAGCTTTCACTACGTAAGTCGAAGGGCAGAAATCTTTTTAGACATTTTTGGATGGACTCGAGGATTTCACGACCTGTTGTCAAGTGCTATGAACGAACGAACCACTCAAACAAGAACCTGCCGTTCCACTGCTTAACTTGTTCCGTTCTTTTTTTTTTTTTTTTTTTTTTGGAATTTTCTCAAGCAACCATTAACTTACCAAACTTTTATGTATACAAGTCACGCTATACAGGAGTGCATACTGTGTACATCAACATTCGAGGCAACTACATAAGCTAAGGACAATTATTACAATTACGTATATATGTGGGTGTGTAATTGAACGGTCGATCAAAGCCATATCATACATATCAACTCTAAAATAATATGTTGTGTCATTGGTACAGCCCAAATAGGTACATAAAAGGTTTAACGATGATATATTTGAAAAAGGTATAAATATCATACCCTATCGTAATATTTACACAAAAAATTTTTCTTAACTCTCATCAAAAAAAATTTTGAACACAGAAAATAATAATAATAATAATAATAAACTACTACTAACAGAAAAGATTGAAGGCAGAGAATGTTTGCTTACTCCGATTCCACCATCACTCGTAAATCCAATGATGATAACACGAAGGTGAACTTTTGTTCACGAAACTCACCACACAGCAACAACCGTCCCGAGTCGTATTACAACTCGTGTTCCATAGTCAATCTGGTGTCCCGACTATCTGACATTGAACAAAAACGAATGGTTCAGAAGAGAGCCGAGGAAGCGGAAAACAGAAAGAAATTGCTTAAAGAGCAGGAACGTCGATATAAGTTATGCGCCGAGCAAGAACGATTGGTTCGCGAGAGAACTAGTCATCAATTATTACTGAAACAAGAGCAAAGTAGAGATGCCTTGAGGAAATTTTATGAACGAAAGGCAAAGGAGGCAAAATTTCAATGTCCCTTCAGCAACAACTCAAGGTCATCATCGCCGTTAAGTAGTACCAATAATTCTTTCGCTTCATTTAATTCAAGTAGTACTAGTAGTAGCGGTGGTAGCATCACCTCCTCCTCTTCAAGTTCTCGCGCTTGCCCCTCATCGAACAATAATTCCAGGCAGAATTCGTGTAGAAACTTGAGGCAGTTGGTGGAAAAGAGCAAGGCCGCATTGAAGATTAATGGCTTTATTATACATCATGTACGCAGGCGAAGAACTCGTCGCGTGTTGAATGAACTTTACATCCTGCGTGAGATTGAGAACCGTCTCACGACAGAACAACAAAAAGACAATGTAATTAAATTACTCGAACAATTGAATAGTGTACAGTGCAATGATTCAGAAATTGTTTGCGCGCGAAAAAATGTTGTCTCTAAAGTTGCCAAGGAGATGTTGGCAAAGAAAATGGCAGCCGAGGACGATTTTGTGTTGGTTGAATTCAAAGGATGTGATTTATGATGGAAGCGACAATTTGTCGATATAGATTATACATACAAACCCCCCAAAAAAAAAACTATTATGTACAAATCATTTAAAATTCATTTAATCATTCAAAAAAAAAAAAATAATTCTTAATTCTAATAGAATTAAATAAATCCTTGTATTTTTAGCATCTAAGCTTTTTTTTTTTTTTTTTTTTTTTTAATTTATTCCCCCCCAAATTTCAAGTGGCAATATTATTTGCTTTTTTGTAAATTAATGATTACCGTAGTACACAATCATATCATCACATGAACAACTTCAATAAACATTAAGTCATTGTACATAAAGAAAAATTAACGCCTTTTCACTTTCATTCTTACCGAGTACGTACATGTCAATACGTTTTTATCAAGATTGTTTAACAAGGAAAGCTTGTATATATAATATAATAAATCTCGGTTTTCGATTCACCAATCGTAGCATGCTTTTTGTTCATGCCTAAACAAGTTTTTCTTCTTTAATCGCTTGACAACCACGTGATAATATTGCCTCAATGCTTTAAACAATGTCGGCTTATCATTACGTTCTTTAATGAATGAATGCACATACGCACGCAACACTTGTGTTCGACCATCGAAATACAATTCTTTCCCGCCAAGTACACATACTTTTTATTAAAAATACATTCTATTTAAGCAGGTACAGAGTAGAGTGACCTCTCTATTATTTTCCATCATTAAATGTACTTCAAGTCAAATGTTTTTTTTTTTTTTTTTTTTAGGCTACGTCAAACTAAAGGTACTTTTAATAATGCATTCTTTTAGCAAGAAAACCTTTCTGATATCAAAAATATCAAAACTTAATTAAGAAATAATGAGGAAAGTGAAAAAAAACAAAGTCCTTGTATGCACGAGTGTGAAACAAAGAATCATATAATATTGATTTGTCAGAGACCGAATTTCCCAGAAATCCAAAACGGAAAAACACGTAAATTAATTGCATCATTTCTCTTTATGAACGGATAAAACTTTCATGTTCACCGCTTCACAAGAATAATGAAATCGCGGACCAATGACGTTTGAGTTTTAAGTTTTATTGTTCTCTTGTAAGATACATTGGGGATGTGCATAATTATGACTTGAGACGAAATTTTTCGCATAGTGAGAACTCCTCCCAGCATTATATTAATACTAAAATACAGTGTTCTTTTGCTTAGTCATACTATAGAAGAAGAGTCAATTGTTCACCGATAAGCTTACAATGTTCTTAAGAGATAAGCAAAATCACCAATAAACTGTTGTTGTTCTTCGGTTGGATTTGGATTATCCAGAACTTGTAGCTGAGATTTAATATTAAAATCGATACCTTGTTCGTCCTCAATTTTGTGTGAGCTATTTTCACTATTGCTATAGTCACACATTGATAGATCGGGCTAGGACATAAGAGATCCTCCCAATCAGCGAATAAACCTAAATTTAAGATTAGCGAATTCGTTTTGTCTTTGGGGGTAAGCGGAAATGAGATTGGTGTGAGCAACGGAGAAGCCTTGCTAACTGACTTCTGTGAATTGATATGGGAAGAAGGTTTGCGATCAGGTTTGTCAAATGAGATTATATTCCATCGCTTTCTTTTTCTTTCACGCTTGGGTCTAGGGCAAATCTCGCTTCGATACAAGAATGCTTCTCGTGCGATTCTTTTGTATTCTTTTTTAACCATCTCGGGTTCTTTCTTCCAGGACTTTGAGACCATAGGAGACATTACCGTCATCGGAAGAGAATATCCTTCACACTTTGCAGTTTTAATAAACAATTTTCGATAGATAATAAAGGCATTTGGTGCTCTAGACGGTTCACGACCATCAGGATTTAAAGTAATTAAATCACGTGGATTGATCATTGGTGGAAATGGAAGTTTGATAAATGGCTGAACATCGTTGATAAATTGACCTGGCATCATAGGATCATTAGCGTTAATGAACATGAAGTTAGTATGTATTTGTTCGCTCATTATCACAAAAATTATGGTTTCTTGCGCTTTTTACTTTCCAGTGAAGTTTAGAGAGAAGCCACACTCGATTTAAGTTTAGGGAGAAGCCACACTTGATTGTATTTATACGCTTTCCATACCTTCTAAATATGTTCTTGTGATGTCTTTGGAATCTTGATTTCATATAATTATACCGAAAACATTACAACTATATAAATCTATCAGTGAACTTTTGTATAAATATGATATTTTCGTACTTGAAATGGGCGATATCTGCTTTTAGAAGGAGAAATAGAATGAATATCCATTTCCATTCTGGGGCACTTGCCAAATTTAAATCCCAAATTTGCCACTCCATTACGTATTTAATACATGTGTGTGCAGGTACCCCTGGAATCGGCAGAATATTTGATAGCCTTGAAATTGAATAAATAAAGTTAATCTTTACTATGCATATCATATCCCGTATAGGTTCAAGTCCCGAAGTCAGGCCAAAACCTGACTCTCCGTTAAATATTTGAGCAAGATATCGCGTCCCGATCCATCTCCACCTCGCACGAATCACATTTTGATAATCAACAATTCCCACACATCTTTGATGTAACTCTGGTACATTCAGTACCTCTGAACTCCCTCAACTTATGATGTAAGAACATCCGAAACCTGAAATGTGACCAAATTAGCATTGCACGTTAACCAAATCTTTCGCTTGTTCTTCAAAACCATCCTCAAAGACTCGAACTTGGGTAAAGTATGACACACATCGATTAAACTACGGATTCGTTTTATGATTCGTGGCATCTTTTTTCTCAATCGGAATCTCTTCCTCTCGTTTATTCTTCCCAAGCAAGATCTTTGTCATATTTCTTAGATAATTTAAATATTTTATTAAAATTACCATTATCCCACTTGATTGATTGACTATCAGGATCATAACCAGTCATAAACATGCAAACACCTGGATCAAGCAAGATTGATTGATAATATGAAAAACACACAGTAGAAATGTTCCAGATACAGTAATTTATAATTCTGTTAACCGTATTGTTAATATTGTTTTGAGGTAATACCATTTTTAGGAATGCATACTTTTCTTTGTTCCGCTTCAATTCCTAGCAAGAGTTGAGATGGTTTGTGTTTAATCCTTTTTTGATTGTTGCTTTCTTTGAAAATTATTATTATTTTCATGCAACTTTTTATTTGTTTTGTATGTGACCATCATCATGTACAAACATATTTTTTATTGAAATTTATAGATTTTGATGTACTGTAATTGATAGAATTTGATAAAATTGATACTATTATTTGATGCAATTAATGTAATTATTTTTGAGAATTTTTAAAATTAAGTTGACAACAAAATAATTTATGTTGCATATATAACTTCTTTTATCCAAAAATATTTTTTGGTTGTAAAACATATATTATTTAAATATTATTTCATATTAATGTTTATATCGATAATTTTATCATTTTACATTATTTTAAGAATCTTATTATATACTGTATCAATCTCACAGCTTCTATCAATTTTTTTTGGCTTTTCTTGGATATTGAATAAATCCATCTTTTATGTTTTTAATTTTTTTTTTATTATTTTTGATTTTTGCTAATTTGAAATTTATTGTTTTTTTTTTTTCATTTGATAAATTTCTTATATTATATAGAGAATATACAATTGACAAGAACCTACATCTTTCAAATTACATGAGTTAAATATTAATTTATCAAACTATTTATTGAAACTATATTAGAAAAAAATTTTTAAAACTAATATTTTATTTAAAATATAATAGTTATATGACAGTTCATACAATATATAAAAAAATGAATAGAAAAGAAAAAATAAAATAAAATAAAAACTTTATATATATTAATAATTAATAATTAACTTTTTATATTATAATTTTGTTTTACATAACTATAGATATATACTTTCTAATAAATTTTTTGAAACTGTAATTTTTGATTGATACAAACTATTAAATCTAAAAACTTTAAAGATCAAGTGAAATGTGACTTCAAAATCTCTTAATAAATACTTTAAAGGATTTGATTAATTTAGATTATCAAATCTAGAAATAAAATTATCCCCATTTTCTGTTCTTGAAGAGCTATTCTTTATTTCAAAAAACCAAATCTTATATTAATATTGTTTATATTGTTAGTTTGAGACACCAGCAGTATATACAATATCCACTTTTCATTATTACTTAGTACAACATGCTGTGCCACAAAAATTTAAAAATTTCCACTGAAAAAATTTCTTATCAAAAAACCATAATCAGTTTATTCCTATCAACTGATAATTATCTCAAAACTGACCAATCAAATACTATTAAATATTAAAACAAACTTATACAACCAAAACATCACATAACAATTAACATAAACAAAACCAGTTTTGGCAATTACAATCAAAACAAAATTATACTACCAACTTATAGACTAATTATTTTATTAATTATCAACTATACCAACACAACAATAATAACAACTCCAATAACAAATCAAATTATATATACTTTATTATTCATATTAATAAAGATTATGCTTACAAGTAGCATAAAACCAGAGAGACAGAATAACAAGTCTGATTAGAAGTTCTCTTGAAAATATAATTTTTTTTCTTATAGATTTTATAGATTATTTGATTTCGTTCTAGTTTTAGTTACTTTTATTTTTTCTCTTCTTAAATTTTCTTTTCTATTAAATTTTTCTTATATCTTAAACAATTTTTTTTCTAAGTAAATAAGCATAACTACTACTTGGCCTATATTTAGCAACAATATTGTTTTAAAATTTTTTTTCAATATTAGCTATTTATAGTTTTAGTAGGTAGGCTAGCATTAAACTTGCTATATACTTTGCATCCAAAAGATATTGATTCTTTCTTAATGTATACCTTGTAATATACGAATAAATAAAAAATTGGTGTTTATTTATGGAAAAAAAAAACTATATTTGGAAAGTCATCAGCAAATTTAAAATTTAGAAATCAATTTTTTGACAACTGTCTTATCAAAATATATTAAATTTTTGTTAATATAAAAAGACCTAAATTTTAATATACAGTTTGGGACAAAAAAACTGGCACTCAATTTTTTTATTAAAATTAATAATTTTATTTATTAAATAATTTTTTTAAAAAAACTATATTTAAAAATTATTAAATATAAAGAATAATTTTTATTAAAACTATTTTAAGTTTTATTAAAAATTTTTTTTAAAAAAATTAATTTAAATTATTATGTTATTCTTTTTAAAATCTTTTGTATTAAAAGTAAAATCAATATAAAATTATATTAAAATTACTTTCTACTCTACAAAATTCAAACATAAAATAAAAAATGCAATAACAATTTTTTAATACAAATTATTTTATTAATTTAAAATTATTTAAATTTAAATTTTTATTTAATTTAAATAAATATTTATTAAATAATAGCAAAAATAAAAAGTGCTATTATTTTTGTCCCATACTGTATAATTTTTTAAGAATTTTTGGTTAAGTAAATTATTGATATATGGATTATTTTTTAATAATTTTCAAATTAAAAAAATCTATTAAAAAAAAAATCTCAAAAATTTAACTCTTATCTAAATTTTGTTGACAATTACAAAAACCTAAAAAAAATTAAAGAATCTGGAATTGTATTAAATTATTTGTCCTAATATTTTTAAAACAATTGGATTAAATTTGAATTTTTAAAAGGTTAGGCAATAATATATGATTTCTACTGTATATAAAAAATTATTAAAAAAAACTCTTTTTCATTCCTTTTTCTATACTTGAAAATTTTCTTTTTAGGAAAATTTTGAATTGTTTACTTTTTTTATTTTTTCCTATTATTATTTTATTTTTTTCTATTTCTCTTCTATATATATTTTTATATTTTTTATTCTTCCTTTTTTTTTTTCTTTTTCTTTTGCCAAAATTGTTATTTTCTTTTTTCCTAAAGATTTTTCTCCTTAGGCCTTTTTCTTCTTTAAAAACTTCATCTTTACAACATTATTTTTTGACCAGTTGACTTTCTTTTCTCAAAAATCATATTAAGAAACAATAACTTCTCTTAGAATGTGGGCTTTAGAAAATTTCTCTCTTTTATGACTTTTTAAAAAAAGAACAGATGATTTATCTCTTCAAAAATTAATATAATTATTATTATAAAACTCAGCTTTGTTTATTAATTAATGATTAAATTAAATATATTCAAAAAATCTTTATACAACTATTATTATCCAAAAGTATTCAAGGAGTTATGCCTTATAATATTTAGAATAAAATAGTAACTAATATCAATATAATTAACAATATTCTAGATTTGTTACAAGTGTCATACTAGTAATTAAGAAACTTAGTAAAGTAATATATAAAAAATAGAAATTCTAATTATTCTTGCAAATAAGCTAGTGATAATAACAAATGATTTTTCACTTATCTTTTAAACAATATAGGTCTATTATACAAGATTAGATTCCAATACTATTAAAAAAAACCAATATGAACTCTACTTATAAAACACTTCTGCTATATTTAAAGTATAGATATACCAAATTCTTTTTGTAACTTAAAAGCAAATCTATATAAAGTAGCTATAGTACCTTTATATAAAAAGATATTTACTATCTATCATCTCTAATATTACTTCATTTGCTATATATCAAGTCATATTTGAAAAGCAGATATATCAATTTTAATTATAACTTGGAGGCTAATCTGTATAGATTAGCTATAACATCTTTATGTAATTAGGTATTCATTTTTTTCTAAGTAGTTAGATACCATTCAAGATAATAATATAGATTTTGGAATTTTTGTTTTTTTGTATTTCTTGAATAATATCAAGAAATACAAGAATATAGTTACTTTATATGAGCCTTATATTAAATTTTTTCTAATAAAAAAAAATATATATCATGCTATTAATATTATATTTTGTTTTGTAAGTAAAAAGCAATAATTTAATAAAGTATAATAATTATTTGCTTCT